GACAGTATCTTCAAAGCTTGGCATTCCCAGACAATTTGTTTGAATAAAATTCAAGTCTCTCTTTGTACTGTGTGCAAGTTCCCAGGAGTATATATCTTTTGGTTTGTTTTTTTTGTTACTACAGTGTACTGTATTTCTGTACTGTCTATAGCAAAGAAGGAAATAGAGAGTTTTTGAAAGTTCTTTTGAAACTGAAGGTAATGGCAGGTAGATAAAACTTGGTAGATGACACAAAATGGAAGATAGATTCTAATGAGTATTTTTTTTTTTTAAGACTTATCATTGGTAATGTGGTAAATTTGATTAATACTGCTTGATGTTCGAACAGGGTATATAAAGGATCCCAGGTATCCTGAAGTAGACAGGTAAGGTGTGTTCATGCTATTCATTTTATGCCCTGGTAACTTGTCTGTATGGATAACTTGGATTTAGTTCTACAAATTTTTATTCCCAACAGACGATTTTCAGGAGTTCGACGAGATGTATTTTTAAATGGGGTAAGTTAGTGCATGCTGGCTTTGGGGACCTTTTTATATTCGACTTTCAGCACTTCCAAAGAACACTCATCACATATATTAATATTACTGTCTTTCATTTTAGTCCTACAATGATTACGTGAGGGAATTCCACAACATGGGACCACCACCACCATGGCAAGGAATGGTTTGTGTCTTGTTAAACTCCATTTTTCCCTAAAGATTATGACTTTTTCATTCCCCTCTAGAAGTGCCTGATCTGCGCTCAGCCTTTTGCTAAAATGTGTCTTTGCTGTAATGTGTCAAGTGGGGGGTGGGGGAGAAAAGACTACTTATATCAAGGGGCAGGGTTTTTTAGTTTGTGGTTTTGGGGGTTTTTCCCCTTTCCTTTGCTTTCACTAGTAGCCCAGCATTCTAGCATGCAGTATGGTAGCAGGGATGTGGCTTGGTTTGAACCTTCAAGAAACTGAAAGCTGTGAGGAAATAGCAGAATCCTCCTTTAGCCCCCAGTAATGGCTGTGATGCAATTTTGTATTCAGCTACATGTTCACGGTAATTGGCTTTCTTTCAAACAGCAAATGCATCAAAGAGGTGGACTTGCTGCAGAGGGTCATGGGATGGGCTGGCATGCTGTTGATGTTTCGCAGGGGCTTGCTTTTTGCTATGGCAGTGAAACATGCGGGAAAGTAGCATAACGTACTGAACAGTATAATTCAGATAAGTCTTCCTATATGGCAGCTTCCGCTGAAATGCACTTTTTTTCCCAGCTGGATGAGTGTATGTATGAGTACGTTTGCATATTGTTATGTACAGGAAAGTTAACTGATAGTGCACTTATATTCAGCTGTGGTTTTGCTGTCTGGTGGGGAGGAATACTCATTGTAACTAGTTATTTTGGATACATGGTTCCCTGTAATCATGGCCCTGAGGGTCGTGATTTTGGATAACTGTAATGAATTGGCTTAGTAGTCATGGAGTGAATATGACAGTGTCTCTCTTCTGCTTTTTGTGTACCCTGTGAATGAGCAAAAGGTGTTGCCAGATGTCAAAATACTGCTGTAGCCTCTTATTTTTCACAGCTAAAACAAAGTGCTTATTTATCATAAATCAAGGAAATGAACAAGGTTGTCAGACTGGAGGAAAATGACTTTTTTCAAACAGAGCTAAATCTCTGGGTACTCCCATCACTTCTCTGCCTCTTCTTTGTTCTGCATGTTGTCCAAGTAGTTATCCTAAAATCCAGCATTTCCACCTACTTCATTTTTGAACCACAATGCAAGCAAAGATACTTCAGTAATAACTGAAGGAAAGACCTTGCTGGTAAAGGAGGTGGAAGGGAACAGCCGAGAGAGAGAGAGAGGTGTTTTTTGTTTTATTGTTTTTTTGTTTTTTTTTAAACAGGACATCTGGTCTAATTGTTTGTCTTGTAGAATAACCTTGTTCATTTAAAATAGGAGTATTTCCATAGGGAATGGTATTGAAAAGTCTCATTCTAGTGAGACCATGCTGGTCTGGACTCATTCTGTATGCATAATCTTTTATATTAAAAAAGTTGTAATTAGCAAAAGTAAGTTTATGGTATCACTTTGAGACAGTTATGGAAGGAAGGTGTCTTTTGGGGTTGTTGGTGGGGAGGGGAGTTGGTCAAACTTCTAAATAAACATTGGTAGAGAAGTAGTGAAGCATGGAGACTTCATAAGAATATTACGCCATACATTCGCTATGCTGTGATAGGTTATATTTAGATGTCGTGTCTTCCTTTTGGATGAAAGATAACTTCTGCCTCTTAATTCCCAGCACTAAGCTTTGTGTACATATTTTTATTTTGGAATATTCAACAAACTTTGTGCAACTTTCTTGTAGCCACCGTATCCAGGTATGGAGCAGCCACCACACCACCCTTACTATCAGCACCATGCACCTCCACCTCAAGCTCACCCTCCATACTCAGGACATCATCCCGTACCACATGAAGCAAGATACAGAGATAAACGAGTAGTAAGTGTCTGCAAAGGCAGAGGGGGAGAGAAGTCTG